CGCCCAGCTGATCGAAGAGGCCAGGCTTCCACTTGTTGCTAGCAGCTTCGGCTTCCAAAAAAGCCTGGAGCTCATCAAGCCGTGCGTACTGCCAAACCTCAGATGCAGTGGCATCATGTGAACATGTATTGAGCAATATGTGTGTATATACATACCCAGTTTGGGATACATATGCTTCACTACTGAGGTGGCTACTACTTCAATGTATTACATGGTATAAATGTACCAGCACACTTGCAAGTGGAAAGCCGACACCCCACACCCCGATAAAGACAGCCTGTACCGTGACATCGCTGAATTCAAATCAGGCCATATAGATCCTGCACCCAGCATCCGAAAGCCTCTAGACCTAGATCTAGATCTGACTGAATTCCCCGATCAAACGTAAGTGGCCACAGCCGAGGCACATCTTCGGGACGATCAACTTGCTCTGGCGAATCACCGGGGTTGACCTCGCCACATGGTCTTTAGCGAGAATAGCAGGAGTAGTCGTTAATTAGTAGTAGTAGTAGTAGTAGTAGAAGTAAGTACTAGTAGTACTATAGTAGTAGTAGTAGTAGTAGTAGTAGTAGTAGTAGTAGTAGTAGTAGTAGTAGTAAGTACTAGTACTAGTACTAGTACTAGTACTAGTAGTAGTAGTAGTAGTAGTAGTAGTAGTAGTAGTAGTAGTAGTAGTCGTAATAGTACTAGTACTAGTACCAGGGAAAAGGGTGATTCCTAGTCGTAGCTAGCACTATATATATATATATGTATATATATAATATATAGCAGTATATATTGCAAGTAGCAGCAGCAGCAGCAGTAGTAGGAGGAGTAGCCGTGAAAGCAGTCGTCGTAGTGGTACTTAGTGCTAGTACGACTACTAGAACTAGTAGTAAAACTAAACCCCTTGCTAGTACTAGTACGAAGAACCCAAACGAAGACTACTACTACTACTACTACTACTACTACTACTACTACTACTACTACTACTACTACTACTGAAAACTACTACTACTACTACTACTGAAAACTACTACTACTACTACTACTACTACTACTACTACGACTACTACTACTACTATAACATACTACTACTGCTGGAAACATAATCCACAAGCACCAGCACCACAACAACAACACACAAACCCGCACATACAAGACACCCGCACCGACACTCACCATTGATGCGTACCACCACCGCTGCTGCCACATCTTCATGATCACTGCTGTTGCTGCTTCATGCCTGTACCCCTTACCAAACGGTTCTGCTGAGACCCGATAAGAGCGGAGCCGACACACGATTGGGCCGTGTGCGGGGGGTGGAAAATCCTCGGAACCCGAGTACGTTGGTATCGATGCCTAGGGCACTGCCAATGCGGGTCGACAAGTTGGGGCCAACTCACCGTGGGCTCCGGTGTATGACAGCAGGACGATGGGCTAATGTGCCTGCTGGCTTGTCGGAATGTGCGGGAATCTGCATGTTCGCCGAGTTTTCCTAGTATTGGGAGGCCCGTGCACATTGCAAGCATCACCACCTGCCCCACCACCCCACACCACCACAAACACAACAACAGCCAAAATACTCCTACTACTCAAGTACAACAACAACTAATACTACTACTGCTACTGCTACCGGCCTGGCTCGCTACTTAGCTACCTTCCTAACTAGCTGACTATATCAGTACCAGCACTAATATTACTAGTATAGCGACTACTACTACTACTACTACTACTACTACTACTACTACTACTACTAGTAGTAGTAGTAGTAGTAGTAGTGCTAGTGGTAGTAGTATGTATATAAATATAGTACAAGTACTGGTACCAGTAGTAGTGGTAGTACTAGAAGTAGTCGTCGTCGTCGTAGTAGCCGTAGTAGTAGAAAGCAGCGGTAGTAGTATATATATACATATATAGTATTACTCCTAGCAGTAGTAGTAGTAGTAGTAGTAGCAGTAGTAGTAGTAGTAGTACTACTACTACTACTACTGCTACTGCTATTGCAAATCCACGATCAATGGCACTGCTGCCACTTCTATCCTCAGAACCTGAATGAACCCCGGAGTGCTTGAGAGAGGCAGGGAGAGAGAGAGAGAGAGAGCCGGCAATTAGGAGGAGCCGCATGTGAATTCACCACATATTAAGAGTGGTTCTTGCCGTAATCGAGGCCTAGGAGAGTGGTCTGGGGTTTTAGTTTAATTTTATAGCCGAGAAACACTTGGATTCACTGCGTCATCTTCGAAATGTCGTAGCACTTCAGCACAAAATTGTTGAGGGTAGTTGGCGCTCCATTTCAGAGCAGGGCATCCAGTCACCTTCACTTTGCCGTTCTTCTTTGTGCGCTTCACCATCTGGATGCCACTAGACTTTTGTTTCTGGCTCAGTTCTGCGATCTCTACAGAAGTAAGTCTGTGGTTGAACTCGGCAATGATCGGTGAAGTGCCCAGCAACCTTAGCTATAGCACTATATATGCACATGTCAATCAACAGCGACTGGAACCCTACACAATAATGTGTAAACCACACCAACAAGCGACACTTGCAGCTAGGAACCAAGTTCTTTTGGCAGCAAAATGCCCGAAGGCTCCCATATGGAATATATTGAAGTAGATCTTGAGGCAGCACGAGAGTGCAATTCTGATCGGCATGAAGTAGCGAAGGAAACTGCTGGCGGGCTGTTCAACCTGCAGTGTGCATCAATTCTAACGATTGACTAGCTGCTGCTGCAAGTCCACACAGACTCATGATCGCAGCAAAGATGCTATGAACGGCACTCCCAGACACTCCGCCAAAATCAGTAACAAAGCTGTGCGGCTTGCAATGGCATTGGCTTGCATGACCGATGGTATGTTGGTGTTTCCAGTGGGGTCATGTTGAGTGCGATGGTGCACACTCGTCGACACCCACACCCACCTCACGAGAAACGAGAGTGAGCTAGAACAATAAAGAGAAGCAGAGACACAAGAGATAATATTGCGTAAGGAAGTAGCAGTCCACAGGGGATGCCAACCCATATGAGCCCAGTCTTCTCCTTCACCCGCATAACATCTCTTACCTCGGAGTCGCTAGCTATTGCAGCCTTTCACACAAACCGAAATCCCAAAAGCCCTCACTCCCCCTAAGCCCTAACTGTAGACAAAGATGCAGCTACGGCAAAGCCGACGTCACTGAGGATGTCGTTCATCTCGGGCCGGAGCATGATGTCATAGTTCTGCCTCGCATTCGGCCAGCGACACGGTTTGCAAGTAGTTCAGTCTTTTAGCGACTTCAATTCGTGAACATATTGTTGCACATCCAAGGAACGACTTGTAGTTGTTTGCACGGAATGTTTTGGTCATTCTCGAACAGCCAGAAAACAGTTCCAGGAAGTCAATGTCTCGTTGCCACATTTGCTCACCCGGTTCTCGTCGCAGGTTTGTCTGCGACACATAATCGCAAAGCTCAAGCCTAGGATTCGGTGTTAGCAGTCACACGTACAACATTAATTGAGCACTGCCACACATGCACATCTAATGTTTTCAATCAAGCAGCAAGGTCTTCGGGATTCCCCACTGGATCAGCTTGGCAGCTCTCTTCTTGGACAGATAAACCGGTGCTGCCTCAGAAGAACCTCTCAAATTGCTGTGGCCAGGGGCCATTGTGAGAATCGTTGATGATATCAGTGATCATGAGCTACATTACAAACCTCGTCTTTCCCAGTGCCTGCGGAGTGTGATGTTGGGGTCTTGTCTACCATGATTGACAGTGCATCAGAGCTTTAGGGGATTTCAGAATGCAGAGCACAATAGACAGCTGCAGATGTCACTCAAAATCAGAGTCAGCTCCCGTTCATGTCATCATGCACGGAAAAGACCACATGCTCACGACCCTGCAGGAATTCCAGTACTGATTTTCCCCACACAGCGCCGTGCAGGTCTATCCCCGGGACATGGGACATACCACATCCTCCAAAATCCGACTGCTCAGGGTGCAATCACTCGAACCATCCATCATGAACCTTAGATAGACCCAGCTGCACACGTGGAAGCAGGCTTACGATAATGCGGCATATACCGGCCGATATATGCATCCAAAGCACGATCTCAGGATTCAGGCATCCGCCTCGTCATCATCGGCAGCCTTGGGCGAGCATTGGGCGATGACGGGCCTTATCCAATATTACACTGGTTGGCGCTTGTCGGGTGAAACACTCACACCTTTCACATGTATGTGTATAATGCATGTGCGGGCCCGTATATGTAGAAAGGCTTAAAAGTCTTTCTACATGTACAGGCCCGCACATGCATTATACATTAATTATATTCGACATCAGATCAGACTGCTGCTGTAGCTGCGTGGCAATATGGTATAGTTTAATAATAACATGTGTTTGCGTGCTGATATGTACATGGCCTCTAGGTGCATGTATCGTAAGTATCTAGCAACCAGTGTAGGTATGCATACTCACATATGTGCTCCATGATTTGGTTCAAACCTATAGCTTATAAAATTAAGCCTCAATCAGTTTAAGGTTGGAATCGAAATAAACATATTTTCAGCATCGAAGGAGCTGTAGACCTCAAACGACTTATTTTAATAATCTACTAGGACCCATATTAATAGGAGCCCTTAAGTCCTAAAGCCTCCGACTACCTATAGCTAGCTAAACTTAAAAGTAGTGGTCCAAATCTTCAAACCTTTGATAGTACATCTCCTACCTCCGACACCCTGCAATCCGAATTCCAAAGCCACCTGATAAACTTAATCAGGCAGCTTCAGCCCCAGGGTCCCCGGCACAGGCTAGGGCCTTCTTCCATGCCTTGGGCCACCCACCATTCTTCCGGCAGTTGATCGTACTACCACCCTTCGCATTGACATTCACACCGTCGGCCCCGTTGCTCTCATTGATGTAAAGGGAACCTTCACTCCACAAGACTTGGATCTTTGAGCGAGCTCCATCCACCTGGATCGTGTAGGACTTCCTCTTGCCCTCAAACCCATCGGGGATCGGGATGCTGCACTTCTTCAAGACCACAGCCTTAATTATTGGAATTCGAAGTGCACTGCCAACAATACATTGACCCCAATAAGTACCCTAATCCAAGCTGGGTGGCAGCCTCTGCCCACGTGCAACCAGCAGCTGTCATCATCTCAGGCACTGCCGGCGCTTCTGCTGCTGCCGGCGCTTCTGCTGCTGCCGGGGCTTCTGCTGCTGTCGGCGCTGCTGCTGCTGCATCTGCTGCTGCTTCGGCTGGGAGCTCCCCGGCCACATCTGTCGGCTTGCACGTGCGAGCCTTCCCCTTAGCTTTAGCCTTAGCCTTGGGAGCTTTATTCGCTGTGTCTTTCTTGATCGGCTTCTCAGCCTTTTTCTCGATCTTGGCAAGCTTCTTAGCGGCAGACGAAGCACGAGCTGCATCCACAACCTTGCAAGTCTAGCTAGAAACCTCAAGCCCTTCAAGTATCCCAATATAGATCCGAACTCCTTAAAGTTTCTAAGTTTGTCCTGCCTTCCTCTGAGCATCAACTAAATCTGGATCCTCGGCATCGGCAGCATCGGACTTCAAGTCCTTTGCAGCCTGTGCCGCTTGTTCCGATAGCAGAACTGGAGTAGCCGGTGGCTGCACATGAACCGGAGGGCGACGCTCCTGGGGCAATAATATATAGCTTCGATAATTATACTAGTGTTGTCGGGCAAGGATGTACCACTCCTTGTCTGCCTGACGCCCGGCACCATCGATTGTACCACCCTTCTGCCCAAGCTCAGGTTGCGGAGCTGCAAAGCTCGAGGCACCCGAGTTCTTGCACGGGGTGGCGATAGTCTGCACAGTGATTGTCTCCTCCACGGCAAGCTGGGTTTCCATCGTATCCATGAAGGCTTCGGGCTTATGGTTCACGGCCACAGGCGGTGCAGCAGCAGGGCTCGGGGAGGGTGTTGTCACCTAGCACAGGCTAGATCATGCGACTGGAATTCGAAGTACCATGCAGCTGCAATCAATGCAAGTACTAGTTAAAAGCCGAATCACCTGGAGTTCCCCAGAACTCCCTCGGGTTGCATTTGTTGTGCTCGGTAGCGAGGCCGGCGACGGAGAGGGGATTTGCGAATCCTCGCCAGTGTCCATCATGAGCACCGGCTCCGCCTCGGGCTCCTGGTAGAGATCTGGATCCCATCTATGTAAACTACATAACCACCGATAATAATTAAGCTTCGACCCGTTGTTGCCGTTTGCATTCACCCCTCCCAAAATCCCTACATCCCAATTCCCTGAAGCCCTAAACCCGAATCTTCAAGACCATTATTTCAAGTCATCCCTGAAGGCCACTAAACCCGAAATCCCTATATCATAATAAACCCCGATATCGCAAATCCCTGAAACCCCAAAGCCCTGACATCCCAACATATCCCAGGTGATCCGGTTACTCAGGTGTATTGCATCTAGCTTTTTAGGGTTTGCAGTTCAATTATAATTAAAAGATCCCATTGGAACCGGAACCTCAGCAGTTTGACCTAGCCAGCGAATACCTGCCTTATTAGCTCCGAAAAACATCGCAAGCCTCCGGAACAGAAGGAGGTGAGAGAGTCGTCGAGAGCGAAAAAGTCACCTGGTTCGTTGTTTAGGGTTTTAGATTTAAGGGTGTACAATTTATAGGGAATTCAGCAAGCCCATCAAAGCACGATGTATATTATGTGCTAGACTGCTGGGTGCTGATGCGATAGGATGGTTTGCTTGGGGTGGCGAGCTGTTTTAACCTGATGATGAGACTTGCAATACGATACGATGCTTATATGTGGTAGGGATGGGAATTAGACTTCAAAGTTCCCGATACAAGCCTCCAAACCGGGATCCTCAGCCGTGACAGCATCATGCACAGCGTTCTCCAGCTCGGCATCCGGATCACCTGCCCAGAATTTCTGCAGATCTCTCACATGATCTATATAAAAAAAGTATATGCTCAAATCGTCCACGCCTACAATCCCTTGCCGAATGATAGCTTGCAGGAACTTCCATCGCTCCGACTGCCTAGGTTAGCACATGCCTGCATGAAGATTGGAGCGGATAATGGCTTTGATCACGCGAATCGAAGGCCGCCTTATTACATCCGATCATGCTTAAAGCTTGTACAGCGATCAATGCAATATATGTGCAATCAAGAAACCGGGCTCCCTCAGACCTCCTAGCCAGCAGGAGCCCATGCACTGCTGTCTGTCGGATGACAGCAGCTTCGACACCGGCCCACTCCTCATGATCATCGTAGAAACATAATTACTTCGGCGATAGCTGCACGGATAATTAAAGAAAGATGCTTTGATCACCTTCTTCTTCGTCTTCTCTCCCAGGATACAGTATCTCTGCGCCAAGAGTATCAAGACTTCCTCCCAGCAGATTTGCGAATTCGGGAGACGGTGGATTTAATTTGACCATACACGAAAAGCAGATCAATCAGCTCAAGCCTGATGGCAGCTCATCAGAGGAACTTGCACGCCGAATGTCGCATAGTACTCTGAGAAGAATTGAAAGTGCTTTTCAACCTGCAGCTTCGAATTCGAATTCTCATCTCCCAAATCAACTGCTCGGACCAATATCAGATTATCCAAGTCACCATCTCCACCGAGTCGGCTCCTTGGGGAACCACACTGAGGATCGACTTCGCCTGGGATATGGGAGAGGCTGCTATCCTAATTTTCTAGATATTTGTATTCCCCATTCCAGCAGGCCTTGTGCTTTCTTACCGACGGGAGTCTCTCTTGATCATCCACCAGGTAGCTGTTCAAGAAGTCCTGATTTGAAGGATATTAGATGCCATTTTAAGATCTGGTTGCACGATTACTCGGCCACCTCTAAAAGCACTCGCTGCAGCTCTCGAAGCTCATGTCGGTTGGCACATGCCATGCTGCACCTGCTGCATTCCACACAGGATAAAATGTCTGTTGATTATACACTTCCCCGATCCGGCCTGGCAAAACCGATGGCGCACAAGCAACCCGCTTGGAAAAAAGCCAAATGCTGAGGACACGAACCGAGCAATCGCTAACGAGCCCAGCAATTTTGATTCCAACCCATGACAGCAATTTCACAAGTGAACAAAGCTGCATTGGCGGGGGAGTGCCTGAGCAATCCCAGGCTGGATCCTCAGGAATATCATCATCATCGTCCCTGGCTGACGATGATAAAAACGCATCCCCCCGTCGGGGTGATCTCGAGCGCCTTTCTGGCAACTCTTCTCGTAGACCTGAACTTCGAAATTCGAAAACGCTATAGCTGCACAACACCTATATCAATTATACAAATCGTCGAGTAGCGAGAAAAGGCACCACGTCGCATCACGAACCCACGAACTCGCCATGGCAGTTATAATGCACATGCGGTCTACTCTCTACATCACTGTACACACACTCTCTTTCTAAGTACCGAATGCATGCAATCCAGGGGTAGGCAAGCCTAGTACCATCATATCATACACATATATCGAACACGACAAATGTGTTAAAGCTGGATCATTCTTGCTCCACATGACGTCCGACCTGCTTCGGGTCGACGTCTTGAACCAAACCCCCTGTGTCGGTGAGAGGGAAAGTGCTGATTTATGGTTTGCAACACGATTCATTCCAAAGTGCACAAATATCATAGACATTCATGCAGCCGACCCCTCTGTTACATGAAAGTTCAGGAATTCTGTAATCATGCTAATCATCACGAAATCCAGAGACATTGCAACGTGTGCCGCATTTGAAGACATGGAGCGTTTGGGTGTAGTACATCTTTACTACTGGCAATGCCTCGTTTCGGCTCCTGTCTGGATTGTGCTTGCTTGTAGTACAGCTTTACTACTGGAAATGCCTCGTTTCGGCTCCTGTCTGGATTGTGCTTGCTTGTAGTACAACTTTAGTACTGGAAATGCCTCGTTTCGGCTCCTGTCTGGATTGTGCTTGCTTGTAGTACAACTTTAGTACTGGAAATGCCTCGTTTCGGCTCCTGTCTGGATTGTGCTTGCTTGTAGTACAACTTTAGTACTGGAAATGCCTCGTTTCGGCTCCTGTCTGGATTGTGCTTGCTTGTAGTACAACTTTAGTACTGGAAATGCCTCGTTTCGGCTCCTGTCTGGATTGTGCTTGCTTGCAGTACAACTTTAGTATTTAGTACTGGAAACGCCTCGTTGCGGCTCCTGTCTGGATTGTGCTTGCTTGTAGTACAACTTTAGTACTGGAAATGCCTCGTTTCGGCTCCTGTCTGGATTGTGCTTGCTTGTAGTACAGCTTTAGTGCTGGAAATGCCTCGTTTCGGCTCTTGTCTGGATTGTGCTTGCTTGTAGTACAACTTTAGTACTGGACATGCCTCGTTTCGGCTCCTGTCTGGATTGCGCTTGCTTGTAGTACAACTTTAGTGCTGGAAATGCCTCGTTTCGGCTCCTGTCTGGATTGTGCTTGCTTGTAGTACAACTTTAGTACTGGAAATGCCTCGTTTCGGCTCCTGTCTGGATTGCTTGCTTGTAGTACAACTTTAGTGCTGGAACAACTTTAGTTCTGGAAATGCCTCGTTTCGGCTCCTGTCTGGATTGTGCTTGCTTGTAGTACAACTTTAGTACTGGAAAAGCCTCGTTTCGGCTCCGGACCCAGTTCTTGACTTAGTCGACTTAGCCAAATCCCCGCTATGTCCACATAGGGCTGGAAAAATCCGCTGGCTAACTCACTTAAATAAGTCGACTTGCCCGACATACCGTATTCCGGCGATGCCACTTAACATTCGTCTACTAACGCACATGATGCACTTAACACATGCCACGAACATATGTCTGTGGACTTACTTCCTTTCTGCTTGCTAAGTCTGCTTTCGATTTACAACACTTGCTAATCACATACTTTTCAATTGCTGTGCCATGCATGTTATTTGCCGCGGTTGTGCATCGACATGCCTCACTTAATAAGTGTGCTTACAGGACTTGCTATCTCATGTTGACCAATATAGCCAAGTCGACTATTCTCCCCAAGTGATTACTAACCCGAGCAGGGCCTCCAAGTACCGCGCCTCCTTACCCCTACCGCACCGCACCGCACCGTACTGCCCCGTGCGGCCCCGCACCCTTCTGGCCCGCAGGAAAGTCGCCAAGGGAAGTTAGCACCACCCTGCTTCAACAGCTGTTTTGAAGTTTTTCCCAGATATTTTGCTGAGTTTTTACAGCGGCGGCCCACGGCGGGGAAAGTCAGAACCACGCCGTACCGCCCCGTAGAGCAGACCACACCCGTACCGCCCCTTCGTACCGGCCCGCTCGTACCACCTCTTTATGATCCGCCCGGTACCGCCCTGTTTCCCGCCCCGCATCGCCCGCCCCATAGCGCCCGGTATGGCATCGTACTGCCCCGTACCGCACCCTTCTGGCCCGCAGGAAGGGCGCCAAGGGAAGTTGTAGAACCACCCTGCTTCAACAGCTGAGTTTCATCAGTTTGATTGTTTTTTCCAGAAATTTTCATTGATTTTTACAGCTGGCGGCCCACGCCGAGGAAAGTTAGAACCACCCCGTCGCCGTACTGCCGCATACCACACCCGTACCGCCCTTTCGCACCGGCACGCCCGTACCGCCCCGTACCGCGCCAAACCGCGCGGTACCGCCCCACACCCTTCTTCCCCACAGAAACGTCGGCAAGGAAAGTTCTAGAACTACCCTGCTTCAGCAGCTGGGTTTTTCATTGATTTTGACAGCTGGCGGCCCACGCCGAGGAAAGTTAGAACCCCGTACAGCCGCATACCACACCCGTGCCACCCCTGCGTACCGGGTTTTTGGAGCTTTCCCAAGCATGGTAATTTCTTATATTTACTTATTACAGCTGGCGGCCCACGGCGGGGAAAGTTAGAACCACCCTATGCCGCCCCGTATGGCAGCATACCACGGCCCGCTCGTACCACCCCTATATCGCTCCGTACAAGTAGCGCCCCGTACGCCTTGTATACCGCCCTGTACTGTATACCGCCCCGCACCCTTGTGGCCCGCAGGAAGGTCGCCTATAGAGGGAAACTGTAGTATCAGAACCACCCTGCTTCAACAGCTGGGTTTCATGGGTTTGGGTGTTTTTTTCTGAAATTCATTGATGTTTGCAGCCCGCATTTCCTTTGTGATGCTTTGCCGCCCCCATACAGCCCCAACCCACACCAACTCGGCCCGAACCGCCCTGCTTGCACAGCAACATCTGGTTCTAACTTGCTCGGGCACGAAGTTGGAACCACGTGCCGGCCACAAAAACCGCCCGCACCGCCTTGATGCCACCGGTCCGGGCTTGCACAGCACAACGTCTGGTTCTAACTTGCTGGGGGGCACGAAACAAGAAATAGAACCACATACCGTACCGCCCCCCGTACCGCCCGTACCGCCCTGACTGCGCCGTACCGCCCCGTACCGCCCCGTACCGCCCCGTACCGCCCCGTACCGCCCCGTACCGCCCCACCGCCCCGTGCCGCCCCGTACCGCCCCGTACCGCCCCGTACCGCCCCGTACCCCCCGTACCGCCCCATACCGCCCCGTACCGCCCCGTACCGCCCCGACCGCCCCGTACCGCCCCGTACCGCCCCGTACCGCCCCGTACCGCCCCGTACCGTACCGCCCCGTACCGCCCGGTACCGCCCCGTACCGCCCCGTACCGCCCCGCACCGCCCCGTGCTGCGCCATACCGCCCCGTATACCGCCCCGTAAACCGCCCCGTATACCGCCCCGTAAACCGCCCCGTACCGCCCCGTACCGCGCCGTACCGCCCCATACCGCGCCGGTATTATAAGGGGCGGCACTGCCCCGTACCGCCCCGTACCGCGCCGCACAGCCCCGTACCGCACACCAACCCCGTTCAACAATATGTGGTTCTAACTTGCCGGGGCACAAAATTAGAACCACGTGCCGTGTACCGCCCAGTACCGCCCGTACCGGCCCGCCCCGTACGGCGCACCACCTGCCCGTACCGCCCCGTACCGCCCCGTGCACCGCGCACCGCCCCGTACCGAACCGCCCCGTACCAAAGTTAGAACCACCCTGTACCGGCCCGCAGGCAGACCACACCCGTACCGCCACACCGTCCTGTATACCACCCTGTACCGCCCCGTGTATAGGCTGCATGCGCGTTGACGCTGTGCCGTCCCGCATCTGCTCACAGCGGCACGGCAGTGCGGGGCGGCACGGGGCGGAGCACATGGGCAGCACGTCGGCGGTACGGGCTGTTTATTATACGCGGTACGCCTTGAATTAATGAGCATGTCTTGGTGCGGGGCGGTACGGATGTGGTACTCTGTGGTATATGGAGGGTGGTTCTAACTTCCCTGGGGTGTAAGGATTCCCGGTGTCCCTGTTAAGCCTGTTTATTGGCTTTTTGTGGCTTTTGTCGGCTGCTCTAGACGACCACTGTTGTGGGGGATAACAAAAGACACATTGGACAAATGCAAGGTTTTGAATGCAACATGCCTTGCGGACCTTGTGTTTCATCATCGAAACAGCAGCATTTCCCTGCGTCGAGGAAGGATGATGCTGTTTAATTCAAGGTCCCAACTCCGAGACTCAGACCATTGCAAGATAATAGCACTGGGAAGAGTCTTCGTTATAACTTGGTGCACAGAGACACGCTCTGTAAAAACTTGCTTTGTGGCTTGCGTGATACACAACTTATTTCCGCCCCGGTGGTTGTGAATGTGCACGAGTTGCGAGAACCGACGAAAAACACGATGTATGTGTGTGTGTGATGTGCAATATACATGTGTGTTCACACTTAGGCAGAAATTACAACCTTTTCCCCCCTACACACACATGCTACAATCATTTGAGTGCAGGCTGCAGGCTTCCGAATCTTTTTTTCGTTCATTCCACGCCCGAAGACACAGACGCTTGAACTTGGGCCTGGCCGCGCTCGCTTCCAGTCGGCAGTCGCAGCTAGCTTGCAACAGAAGTAGGCATGCCAGGAGTAGCAGTATTGCAACATTGAAAAACATCAGGCGGCAGCATACATGATCAATGAGCAAACAACCATGTAGCCGCTAGGCCTTGAGGTCGTAGAGTCGTAGAGAATGTCCGAGTTGATCCTGTTGGCCAGATGCACGTCGCGGTGCCGTTGAGGCCCCATCTTTTCACCGCCCCGGTGTGTCTCATGGTGAGTCGTCGTTAGTCGTGGCCTGAAAATCTTGTCAGGAGATCCATCGTCAAGCAGAAATTCCAGTTCCAGGATGCAGTGGACGGTCCAGGGCCCAGCGTTGCTATTTCCATGTTTGCTAGCCTGGAGGATGTTCTGCATGTCTGGCTTTGCGGTCAGGCAAAGATGCGGAGCGATAGTCGGTCGTCTGTGGCCGAGCAGGACGCTTCTGGAGAGATGCGACATACGGCTTTTCGTGCGGTTTAAACATGAATGTGCAGGCAGTGCTGGAGAAGCGACAGCAAAAGAAGCCAACGGACGCCAATGATCGCACCAAGGCTCCGCATCTGTTGTCTCGGTGACATTCTCGGTCGTTTGCCACCTTGATGAATGTGTTCACGAGGTTGAGCTGCAGCGGCTGAGAGCTGAGGGCAAGCGGCAGGACCTGGCGGAAGCCTCAGTGCCGAAGACTCTGTGGCTCAAAGCCACACCCCGCCGACAATTTGCTTCAGGTCGAGCTTCTCCCGACGTTGGGGAGAGATCCATGGCCATACGGCGTCTGGAGCCGAGTACCGCTCATTGCATTCAGTATGTAAGCTGGCTTTGTGTCACGTGTCGAGTGTCGACATTGCGGTTTCCTGTCCTGAAGAACTCCTTGTTTTTTTTCGTCTTCTTCTTCATCTTGTCCTTCCTGCGATCAGCACATTGCAAGACAAGCTCATAATTTGGGGCATGTGCTGCCTCACGGGTTACGGTGATATTTCCACCAATCGGTAGGCCAGTGCCTCCTGAGCCATGCTCGATCATGAGGTGCTGCCGCTGGCCTGGCGGGTTAGGCCAACCATGTACTGCAGGCAGAGTTTCGGCTATTGCAAAACATTGTGCCGCGTGCCTGCTCCATCGATCTAGGCAGTGCTGAAGAGTTTGCGACCTGAGAGTTTGCAGACTAGTTACCAGCCACGTTTCGAACACCATGGAAGCCTGTGCCTTGTGCGGAGCCAGGCAATCCCAGAGGTCGATCGCGTTGAGTCAGCTTCTCAGTGTTCTTCGAGTTCCAGTGGCTATGGCTAAAGTCTAGATTCTGGAATCTGCAAATCGACTGAAAGAAAACGACTTATCTGTGCATCCTCTGGATTTCATAATGTCAATTAGATAGTCTCTAACCTAGTCTGTGTAGTGTACAAAGCAAATAACAATGTGTGTTGTAGCAGCATTGTAGCACAAGTCGCCGATGCTTGGCTGTGGATGCGGGTGCCCTATGCTTGTTCGCGAGGTTACAAATAGAAGGGTTTCGGAACCTTCGGGTCAAGATCTTGATTGACGATTTCAAGAGGTCCCTGATCTCCAGACTCTAGACGCAGGCGCTTTCCAGCATGGCCAGACATTCCCAACCACCCCCAGCTCTTCCAAAGCCGTTTAAACCTGAAGCCCCAAAATACCTCAATTACAAACCCAGAACTCGGTGCACCAGCGACTTGAGCAAACAGCAAATGACTATGTCGCGTTTGCTTAGGCTCCTGGCTTCTTCTTCTGGATTTCGCCAGGAGAACATTGCAAAGGCTGGCCCAAACGTGCTTTTCTGTAGTGCTGGGCTTGCTGGGCTGCAGGACATGCAAAGGCTACACTAGATTTTTATTTTTTGAACGGCAATGTGTCGCACGTAAGGTTACACTCTAAGGTTGAGTGGTTCAGAGTCCAGAGTTCAGAGATTGGGCAGATGGGATTCGTCGCGGCGCTTCCACAAAAGCATCAGCAGCCACCGTTGGGCAACGGTGTAGTGTAGTAGTAAGCCCTCGACCTATGCGTAGCAAAAGTCCCTTTGGAACCGTCAATACAATGTTTAGTTCAACCCACAACTCACGTACGTCGTTATCTTGACTTGCAAACCGTTCCCTGCCACATCCTGATTCCTCAACCAAAGTAATCAGTAAGTAGTCGAGACCTGCCACTCTTGTTGTTTTCATGCTGGAGTTGGATTGCTTGGACTGGCTGCTCAGTTCACTAGTAGCATTCTGGCGCCCACACAATGCTGAAGTGTATGTCGTATCTAGTCTACCAGTTGCCACTACAGTCTTGCAGTTTGATCGGTACCATTGGAACAATCGTCCAGAACGAAGGTTAGTACCAGTTGATGCATAGAGCTTGAACCGAACATGCTCACACAAAGCTCAGAGGATTCGCTTGTTACAGATGGTGCTGTTGTTGCTGGCTGCGAGACATGCGCGCTTGAACAGCACACGTCGGACGGATCATGGACAGACCGTCAGACAGAAGCAAACTTTGCCTCCCAGCACTTGGCTGACTGAACTTCTGCGTACGCATGGTCTTTCCTGGGAAAAGTCGGGGCGAAATTGGACCGACACAAAGCATCGTCGGGGCAGAGAGATAGAATGCACCGTCCTGGCGAACGTGACTGGTGGCCGGGAATGCGCTGGACAGCTGACCCGTTGGTCCCAGCAAGAGGAATACCTTTGGCAATATTATTCAAAGGCTCCAGATTCCTTCAGCCTGAAGTGTTCTCACACAGTTGTTCTTGCCCTGCCTTTAGTCGTGTCTTGTCCGGAAAGGCTTCACAGGCCCTCCTGGTCAGCAACACCTGTTTCCTTGCAAGATGTTGTTGTAGCTGCTGGCAAGCCGAAAGCCGAAATCTGTCGTCAGCTTCAAGTGTCAGAAGATGTTCTTGATGCTTTTGTTGCTGCTCCCTTTTGCATGCAATTGCATGGGATCTTTATGCTGCTGATGCAGAAGCAGGCATGGAGCTCCATCATGTGTCGGGTTGCTTGGATGCCGCATGGCAAAAACATATCCAAGTCAGAGCAAGAGAGACACAACGTCTTTTTCCAAAGTGCTGGTATCCCGTCGGCGGAGTTTGTGCGTGCTTCGCGGTCCCAGCCGTCGCAGGTTTTGCTGCAGCATGACATGTCCTTCGGCGCAGGCGCAGTGGGCAGTTCCGAGCAGCCTCGGCTTGAGTTGACAGGCGAGGCTGCCAGCAGGTTGATGTCCGATCTGCGGCAATGGGCCCCAGCAATACTCGGGCAAACTGACTTAGAGGATCGAGGCCAAGTGCAACTGTCGCTGGAAGAGCACGTGACGCGGTTGTCACACTTTCTGGCCAGCGAGCAACAAATCCGAGATCCAACGTTGTTTGGAGCTGCCCGCCATACTCAGATAGATGTGGACAAATTGATTTCTAGCTTTTTTGCTTCCATGCATCTAAAGAACAGAAGAATGCTGCCCGAGACATTGAGCTTGGCTTTAAGAACAATGCCAGCCTTCGGTGGTGTCAGTGTCAACGAGGCCTTGGTGAAGATCCCCAGTGGTGCCAGCCTTCAGCGCGCCCAGCTCCTGGTAGACACAGCGTACATGTACTTCTGGCAAGAGAAGCTGATGAGCTTGTCTCAAGGCCATTGCCAGAACGTCATCTACCTGTGGCTCGATTCCAGTCCGCAGGGCGGAACGGATTGGTTGTTGAGCATCATGAAGATCCTGCGACGCAAGGATCTTCATCGATGCAAAACAGCCGCCGACCAGCTGGAGTTGTCGGTCCGTAAATTTGAGGCGGCAAGTGCGTCCAGGGACTCAAGTGCAATGATCGACATCGCCCGCGAACGACACCAAGCGAGGAAGGTTTTGGACGAGTGCTTGATGTTGCACTGCCTGATTCCGAGTGGAATTGGGAGCGGGGCAGCGAAAGTTGAGGACAAGCTGTCGAGCCTGTGTCGCAAGCTGTATGCGGAGAGCCATAGTGTGCGAGCCCTGAAGACCCTCTTGAGCAGCGTTCATGGCTTTTGCACAGATGCCGGTACCGAAATGTTCATCGGGGACGTCGCCGGCGTCCGAATCAATGATGTCCTTCCGGACTGGATGCAAGACCCTTTAGAGCCAGAGCAAGAAGGCTTTGACGTTGACGATTTGGATATGAATCATCAGCAGGCTGCCCAGGCTCTTCCAACCGCCGCAGCCGCTAAAGAATTCCTTTTCCCCAATGGCATCATATCTCCCGGAGCCCTGCATGTACTGCACAGCATGAGTGCCGAGGTTGATAGGGGGTTTCAGTTTTATGATAACTGGTTGTTAAGCTTCAAGCCACTGGTGCGCTTACTGCACGCAGACCACCTTCGCGATCGGTTTCTTGGCACCTGCGTGGTGGGTCGCTTTGCTTGGATGAAACCTCAAGTTCGCAAACTTGCTGAGCCTGCGTTGTGGAGATGGGGCACTGTCGCAGCTGTGCTGCAGCGTTTGATGAAAACAAAAGCAGTGCTGCAAGCTGCGTGGTCTGCCGAGAATTTCTCCCGGCAGGACGAAAGCGGCATGGACTCTGAGTTAGACGTGAATGCTGTGACGGCAGCCATTCGATCAGACAAGTTTTGGCTTTACAGCAGTATGCTGCTGCAGCTCCATGCCGTTGCTGAAGACATAGCTTCATGGTTTGAGGGCTGTCCCTGTCATCCCCCGGTTTTGTTTCATGCCCCAGAGCATGGAGCTAGGACCCTAGATTCCCTAGATGCCTTTGAGGACGTGTTGCCGTCTGAACACTTTCCGCTTGCTGTTGAAGCAGCAGGCTTGCCTCGCGAACATGTCCAGAAATGCCCCTTAGCAGGTCAGAGATCCACCGAACTAGCTTCTGGGGAGTTTATGCAGCTTCTCGAAGAATTCGGCGATAGGCGCTTGACAGAGGTTTTGGCGTTTACAAATGTCAGTGCAGATTCCGAGGACTTGCAGGAAGCCTTGTCTGATTACAGCCGTGGCCGTGCCCAGTACACAGCATACTTGACCCAGAAGTTCCGTTGCTGGCAAGAGTTGCCTTGGAAATTTGCCGCCTTGAATCACGTAGACCCTAGCGAAGTGCGATCCCAAGCTGTGACGGTGCTTGGTCTCTTGGAGAAGGCGCCAAAAGACCGAGCATTGCACCACAGAAAGACATGGCCTTTCCTTGAGGGCTCTGAGGCTCCAATCCATCAACAGTTGACAGCTTTGGCAGCAGGGACATCCTTGCTGAGCGACCCGGGCCTCGAACTCCTGCGAGGCTTTGTGCATGAGTTCCGGTTCATCCCGACAGTGGAAAGAATACAGGAGGCAGACCATGCCATTGTCAAGAAGTTCATCACACACCGTGTGTGTTCTGGTCCATATGTTTCAACAGCAATTAGGATGGCTGAAATGATGAAGCTCTTTGATTCCGTAGAGCAATATCAGAATCTTCTTCGGCAGTGGCCCAAAATCCTGGACCCAGATGATGTAAGTAAGCGGCTAGGGGTATGGCGCCACCCTCAGTACCAACAGGCTGTCGAGGATAAGGTAGGCAGAAAAGCCAAAAGGATTTTATTGTCTGTGTTGCTCTATAGGCTGGATCCGGAATCCCAGTTCGCTTCAAGTTCACACGTCCGAAAGAAAAGAGATCAGCGTGCAAGGCGGCTTGAGAAGGTGAAAGACTCTTTTTTCAAGCAACTCAACCCCGAAATTGCCGGTTGGTCATCAGACAATGTCGAGCGCCGTGCTGCTGCTCAGCACATGCAGGACCGCATGGAGACTGGCCGCTTGTACTCCATGCCTCAAGAGATCATGGCCCTGCCTTCGTTGCAGGATAGGTTAGCATCCGTGAAGCAAGCTGTGCTCCCTCAAGTGCCTTTGGAGTCTCTTGCCGGCGATTCCTTGTCTATGAATGATAATGAAGTGCAGACAGCGCTATCTGTGCATGAGGCTCAGGCTCTGGTGGAAGGTCGTGCTGCCACTGTGCAAGAAGCCCGGGAACTTGTTCCTGCAAGAGCTGCTGCTAGTGAAGTGCCTGTCATGTTCTTCAGGGTAAATTGCAATGCGCCCGCCAGGCACAAGACTTTGCCTTTGCCGGCTGCAAGCGGCATGAAGCTTGCTCCAACAGACATGACAGTGACGGTGCATGACTCTAGGCAGTGTGAGGATGCATGTTGGGTGGAAGTCGATGCCAAGAAGGCGCAGGGCATTGCGTCCTCAGTCTCCATCCTCTCCCTCTGCAACGCAGACGCGAAGCAGCTGCCCTCGCTGTTGCAACAGTGGTCGACCTGCCAGAGCCTTTCTTATGGACTGAAGAGATTCCCTCAAAGTAAAGAGTTGTCAACGTTGCTAGGTCGGCTTTTGACACACCGTTCCTTTGCAGATGCACCGCCTTCACAGCATCTTGTGGTCTCGAGGACTGAGGCTTCCTTCAGCCTTTGCCAGAGACTACAAGATGCTGGCTTCATTACTTGTGCTGCCCAGACAAGCCACGATGCAACATGGAAGTTCACGTTGCGAGGCCTTCAGGATTTGATTCTGATGCATGAAGTCGGCCGGCCGACTCTCGTTTTCGATCCGTTAGAGGCATTGCTGGATAGGGCCGCGAGAGGCTTGGAAACTGTGCAGCAGTTCTCAACTTGGGAACTTCTTCAGGTGCTGCAGCATCGAGGTTTTCAACTGCGACCATTGCCATCCAAACGAAAGGATCGCAGGGCTCTTCCGCCGCACACTCATGATGATGCATCTCCCATCATGTACTGTGGAAGTAAGACGTCCGTTACCCTGGAGACCGCCGGCACGCGAACCTACATGCAAGCGTTGGTGATGGCGCCCGACCTTTTCTCGGGCATTGTGAGACTTGTTTGAATACAGCATTTCCTGTTTATTGCATATGATATGACAATAAAAACTTCGTTAAACTTAATCCATGTTTCGAAGGCCCCTAGCTCAACCCATAAGCCCAGGAGCAAGGTGCACCACGGTGAACCGATGACGTATTATGAGCAGCTGTTGGACCCAACTTCTGGTGCCACTGGAGATTTGCCTGAGGTTCCTGAGAGAAGGCACCTGCAAGACAAACGTGAGATGGAGCTTGATGACGATAGTGTTTTGCGTCTTGATGTCGTTGCAAGTGACCCAGGCCGGCAGAGGAAACCTGAGCGTCCATCCTTGCAGTCGGGTGCGCGTGGCATTGCGCCTGTGCCAGCATGCCGCCGAATGGCACCTGTGGACGAAGAGTTTACTAGTAGCGAGAGTCATGCTAGTGATGCCGAAGACGGCAGGCAGGGGATTTCCGTCGTTTACACTGATGAGCGGCCCATTTTCATGGATGAGCGCGATGCGGATTCCATCATGGAATTTT